CAATAGATACAGTACAGATTGTGTAGATTTGCTTAACAACAAATAAATAAACAGAACTACTGCAAGAGAGTACGGGGCATTTTTTAGAAATGTTTTAAGTCAAGGCCTTGATGTTAAGTTAAATTAGAACTTTTTCAGAGTTCAATATTATTCGATGGTTTGAGTTATTAGAAAAACTCAGACATACATTCATAACAATAACAGTTAAGTCAATACATTTCCGTTCGTAGCTCCAACTGCTATGAAGTAGGCCAATAAAGGTCAATCACTATAAGATATGCTATAATACATATGCTTATATCAAAATTAGCTACAGTCATACAAATAATGTTTTATCTGAATACCCATTTAAAGTTAAAGAGCCCATACAGGCAAAATTTAACTTTTTTCGTACTTGATAATAGCAATTGGATCAACCTTTTGAGTGCTTATAGCCTTATACTGACAATATGTTAATATGATAAATTTGGTGATTTGTCGACTACGTATTACACAATCTATGAAAGTGCATTTTAACCCTCTATCTGAACAACCAGAGTGTAGTTACCAGTGTATGTGTTTGTAGATGTCATCATTTTTAAAGTATGAGGCAATTGTGGGTGTTGGTAAAACAGAAGTTTTGTGAGAGGCGACAAAGGGGCACGTTCTAAACCCCATTTTTATCAGAGTCATCCGAGATATGAGGTTTTCAACTAACCAGATCTCTTTAAGCATGGAGAGAAAGTAAGCCGAAGATGACTCGACATGCCAATGAAATGATGTCATCGCCATCTAACCACGTTGTTAAACACATGTATAAATTAATGGGTGTTGAGATTTATACTCTTTAAATATATTTAATTCTTAATGTTAAAATGTAAAAATACTTGAATTACGAACAGATCGTTTACATAAACTGTATGTAAAATTCGTCACATTTCTATCACAAATTATACAAAGTCTTTACTCATAGCTGATCTTAATTCATCAACAAGAAAAGTAAATGTATAATTCATGTTTATTCGAAAAGATGGGTGTCAATAAGGACCTAAAATGGCCCATATCAGGTTTGTGTGTAAAGTTACACAAATATAGATAGATATGATAGGTGATATGGCATATTATATAGTTACAGTGTGTCTTAATTTCAAAAATGGCGACCACCATCAGATGTATGAACCAGTATGTTAATCAGGATATACAGAGGTTGTGTATATTATATTAAATCGATTTTGGAGCCTCATCACGTCGTTACGGTCCAAATCGCCATGTCCATTCATGTTCTATCTGACGACCGTGTATCTTGACAATAGTTTTAACATAGTTTCCACTGCAAAAGGCTATATCGTAAGGCTGTCATGTCCAAAGTACACCACTCCTTTCTTCATGTTTCTATAATCCATATTGTGTACTAGGACGACTGCTCTCAGTGCCCACTTTAACAATCCGATCGAGCAGAAATCCATAGGCGCTGCATTCTCTGAGTTGACTTGTATGTCTTCGTATGGAATACTATGAATACTCGTTTCATTCTCCAGCTGTTTCAGGTATGCGACGGCTAAATGGATATGTTGTGGATGCAATTTTTTTGCACGTAACTTGTGTGGATTTTTTCCAGATGGATATTCTTATTGATTATGTTACGTACTATTGCATGGGACAAGTGGACGGTTTTTGCCATTTACTTTGTGTTTGTGGATTCTCAATTGTTACAAGACACCGGATTTTGCTTACCATGATTGGGGTACGATTTGTTTCTTGTTTCTTTCTGAGTGGTCCTAGTTCCCCAAAATGGCCCACATTTCTTTGTTTCACAGGGTCATTACGTAAGAGGTATATTCCCGTCTTGGAAATTCTAAATCCCTGATGTGAACACGTCTTCACGTATTCTATTTGTATTTATGGCAAAGTTATTAAGGCTATCTACCACCATCCCTAATTTTGAACTACTGACCAGAGTGTAAACAGCCAGTCAGATGCACCCTATAAACCCAATAAGAGATAGACTGCCACTCTTATAACGTACCACAGCTTAAAATGCGGAGAAAATTTTGTGGTAATACACGGATTCAAACCAGTTCGCCTGCTCCGAAATCCAGAGCTTTATCACAGAGCCAGCCCATGCCCTACATCTTCATCATCCGAGTGTATTAATACTGTGTGTCGGGAAGGGCCATTACATACCCTTCCTAAAAACGACTAATTTTCAGTGGTATCACACTACCTACGAAACAACAATATCAAAATGTAATTCTGACATAAGCTGTTCCATCGCGACTTTATATCGGCTGTAGTTGTCACATGACTTGCTGATTTGCATATTAAAAATCGGTATAATATTGCGCATTCAACGCTCTGTATATTCTGCATGGACAATTATTTGAAAACAAAAAGAACTTAGCTTCATGTAATCTACCCAGCACTCGACCACATTTACAGCATTATCGTATTATGTGTTTTATCTCGTCGTCAGCAAAATATCAATCCTGATCAACTGCACCAAGTGCATGCTTCCTCCTGTTGCGACGACATAGGCAGAGATGTACCCTTGTGACGGTGATAGGCACTAGAAAACAGAACCAGTTTTAACACGGTAGCAGATTACCGTCTGGCTTGTTGTGTAACAAGACGTAACTACCAGTTTTAAGAGATGTTCCCTTGTGACGGTGATAGGCACTAGAAAACAGAACCAGTTTTAACACGGATTTGAGCCGTAGCAGATTACCGTCTGGCTTGTTGTGTAACAAGACGTAACTACCAGTTTTAAGAGATGTTCCTGGTATACGACGTTGCCTGCTTGAGCTAATAAAAGCCAACAATGAAATCACGAAGATAATCCTCGGAAAGCATGAGTAGTCAGGGGAGCAGTTCACGTGGAGTGTTTTGCTACCAGAGATGTATATTGGCTCCAACATTCTGCAGACTATCTTCCCCTCAATGCCCAGTGACAAATAGACAAGGGGAAAATAATAACTTCCGATCAGAGAAAATGTAACCGCCCCGTGACATATGTGGGTATAAATAGCACCAATCCAAAGTACTAACAATACTAAGCATTTTGTGATGAGGAGCTGCACATCTCTCTATGTGAATACACTGAGTGTTGCGTATTCTCCACTAATATTTACTATTTTTATACACGTTTTGCATCTTCGAAGCTTGAATAAGCCGAGTCCATTGTGAAGCACAGAGCTGAAACTTGTTACAAACTAACTTTTCCATATGCACAATATTCTGTTCACATGGAGGATCGTTCAAGTCAGGCATTTTCCCTATATCTGCTTTGTTAAATCACAATATTCGATCAAATTATTGTCAACGTGGCGTGTGCAACATAAATTCTCCCCCTTCCGGGGGGTTCAGCTTCAACTCTAAGAGCTTAATTTTATAATACAAAAAATATCGGGTTTCCATAGCAGCAGTGGATAAAGTATGGATAGCCCATTGTGTAGCTTTGTGTTTAACAGTAAACAAAGTTATAGTTTTTTGACATGTTCAAGGTTACCTACGGCGCTGAAATCACGTTTTCAACCCTTTTTTGTAATACTGTGGAACATTTTGACACTCTTGTATTAATATTACATTGCCAGGCATGCACAAACCGGTCTAGAATGTTTTTAACCAAAGGAATACATTAATAGGATTTTAACAGCATAACTTGCTTTTTATTTAAACATCGACTTCCAATCTTTCTTTTTTTTTTGAAGAGCTAGTTCGGTATAATGCTAGAGTTTAGGTTTAATGTTTGGAAGAATGATGCTCTATATTCTATACTATAATTGGAACAAATAATGGCACATGTATGTTAAATTGTACATTATCAGTATTACTGTTCACGACAATACAACGATCGATGTAAGTGAAAACGTAGAGTGAGTTCAAAAGCGAAAGCGAATAACATAAAAATAACATATAGCATTGCACAACGAACCTAAAAACTAATAAGTCTCATACATATGTTTATCACAATGAAAAATAACAAACGTGTTAAAGATGCTGTTATGTTTGAGCCACACGTGACAATCTTCTGTTAAGTGTTTTAGTCACGTGATTGGAGAAGCCATATGGTGTCCTCACCAGTAAGTCCACAACTCACGAGACTTTCTCTCTTTTATAACTGCAACCGATTAGAGACTGTAAGAGGGCTCCCCAACAGTGGATCCTACAATTAATAGAACCTTCTTCCCTTGTAGTTACAATTGATGCTGTTTTCTGAACTACACACTTGTTTGTGTGTTGTTTTGTTGTTGTGTATAAAATATAGATTTTATTCCATTGAAAATGTTCGTTTCCCCAGTATTCCGTATTTACTTACAGACGAATAATTTACGGTACTACAGGGATGCAGAGTTTATTTTTGTTTTGTTTTTTTTCGACCTGAATATGCATTTCTAAAGATGATTTTGATTTTAATCAGTTTAACTCTTTCCACAATGTGTTACCGATATTCAGTATTTTTCTTTCTTTTTTTTATTGCGGTTTTCTGCAGGTTTCTCTTATTGTGTGGTTTCTCCTGAAAATTTAAAAATAGAAAGAACGTCTATTCACAGGTTTCTCTAAGTTTAAATGATATGTATGGTGAATGAACAACTTAGTAAATGATTAGTTTTAATATATATATACCAAATTTTCCTTATATCCGTTTTATATCTTGTTATTTTGGTATTTTGAATGTTCAACCTGAACAACTCCTTATACTACACATTAGATAAACAGCCAGATCAGAAATTTCTAGTATTCAGACACAGTCATTCTTAATCTAGATGCTGAACAGACAAAAGGCAGCCAAGTCAGTTGCACATGCGTCTTATGTGACTACTTTTTATACATATAATTTAAGTTGAGAATTCAGGAGCGTATATTTCAAATCAACTATGTGTAGGTACACTCCCATGATGAATATTACCATAAATTAATTACGGTATACAAACGCTTATTAATTAATTATTTTTCTTCTTTTTTTTCAGAATTTTGTGTATGTGCGTGCCTTTTTGCCTATTTTGACTATACGCCCCTGGAAATTTGCGACCACGAGCATCTATCGGAGAGTGTGCTACCACTCTCCATGTAAGGATGGCACGGACGCGCGTATTAAAGCAATACAAAATTCATCTGGATTTTCTTCTCTATAGGTAATCAGAAGCTATATATCTCCGGTGTATATGCTGCTTTTCAGCTATCCAGAGCGTCCCAAAGTCGAAAACTAGCGAATAACCAAAAACCGAGATTTCATATTTTCGTTCATCGTCATATTTCTTCAACAGACCTAGCGCCTACCTAGTTCTAATAGTAACTATAATTTTATTATCACTTGATAAATAAAAATAGTCTTCATGATCTTTGACAACCTATTTTATTATTATTCTATGCAAAATTTATAAAGCTTTAGAATACACTATATAACCTAGTAACCCACGTACGCCATCTTATAAAAAATAAAAAACAATACAAGGAAAATAAATTATCGCTAAATATAAAAGTTATGTAAGGTTGGTTACAGAACTTGAAAAAAGGAACCAAACAAGATAGGGATGGAAGTGAACATATCACTTGATCAGGCTGATGATTACATAGCAAACTAAGCTGCCTTAACTTTATATGGAGAATAAAACCCCTACATTACTGGCTTACTCACTGGCAAAACGCCCCCCAGTGGCACAGCGGTATGTCTGCGGACTTACAATGCTAGAATTCGGGTTTCGATACCTCTGGTGGGCAGAGCACAGATAGCCCATTGTGTAGCTTTGTGCTTAATTACAAACAAACAAACACTGGCAAAACAAATATAAACAGAATTTCCAATCGTAAAATGTTAATCTATTGTAAAATAGTCATAAAAGTAGTACTCTAAAGTTAACTAAAGGAAATGTATAATGATGAAAGCTGAGATTCTATTTAAACACCAAGTTTTCGATAGATAAAGTGGGGAAGCCAGTAATGTAGAGATTTTATTCTCTATGTAAATTCTAGACGGCTTAGTCTGCTATATGATCATTAGCCGATCAAGGGATATGTCCATTTTCATTCCTGTCTTTTGGTTCCTTTTTTTCAAGATCAGTAGCCAGCCCTATATAACATTTTTATTTAGCAATATATATATTTTCCTTTATACTTGTATTACCAGTGTTGTTAGGCGGTTGGTTGTTCCTTGTCTAACTCTGCATGGTATTTACGATATTTTCTAATTTATATAGGTTTTTTGTATATTCTTATGGGAAGATTAATTTCCTTACAGAATCACTAGTGCAGAAGAAGAAAAAAACGTTATAAATTATTTTATATATGCAAAATCAACCACATCGATGAAAATTTATTAACTTAAGTATTTCAGATAATATTCTAATCATATTCGAGATAAATATCGTCTAAGAAACAACCATTTGAGAGCCTTTATGTACTTACGTAGCAAGACATATTTCCTAAATTCCCGGCGTATGTAGCTAAAATTTCTTCCATAAAAACTAGCATTGCGAAATTGTATGCATCGTTTAAAAACATGAAATAGCTTATGATATACGTTACGTATTTCCAACATAATGAATGAAGTATATCGTATAACAGCCATATCGTGGAAAAACACCAAGAGACAGAATATCTAGGATTGTTTGTTTTGTAATCAGAAGGGAAAACCCTACAGAGCGATCCGATCGTGTCAACAGCTAGTACGTGCTCAAGTTAATTAAAACTATTAACAAAAAGTAATTTATAATTCGTATGCCAGTCAGACAGACTGCAAAGTTGCTGACTGTTTATATACTTCTGCAGGAAACATTACGATGTTTCATATGTTTAACTGGTACAGCTCTAATTTATGAAACTTTTTTATCTAAAAGAAAAGGCTTCAATGTTGTTATCATAATCAAATCGCCATATGCACTTCGTGGACTACTATTTCCATCTATAAATATAAACCAATTCATTATCTGAAATACACATTATCGGTTTGGTGTAAAGGTCAAAGATATAAGCACTTAATATAAATAACTGATTATTCAAGCATTTAGCTTTAAAACTGTTTTAAGTTTGGTGAGCTATTTAGCTGTGTATGTTTATAGTTTAGTGCAAAGTTACACAAACTGCTATCTGTGCTGTGCCCACCACATGTATCGAAACCCGATTTCTAGTATTATAGGTCCGCAGACTTACCGCTGTGTCATTAGGGGTGTATTTAGTTTTACATTTGTTTTAAATGTGGTAAGACATTTTTGTTTTAAAAGCTGTTTGGTAAGCTAATTAGCTTGACAACCATCTTATGTTTGGTAAGCCGTTTAGCTGTGCTTCTCCGACAGCTTAGCGGTAAGCTTCAGAGCTTATTTGGAGCATGATACCCAGGTAGGAACAGTGTAGATAGCTTACTGTGTATCTCTGCGCTTAAACAAAAACAAACCATTTAGCTTTAAAACTGTCTTGAATTTAGTAAGCTATTTTAGGTTTAGCAGTTGTCTTAAATTTAGTAAGTTGTTTTAGCTTTAAGGAGCTACTTTAAGTTTGTTTTTATTTGTTTGTTTTCTGTGTGTTTAAGAAGTTTCGCGCAAAGGTAAGACAGCTAGTCAACAACATCAATTCCCCTCGACGTGGATTCCTGTACGTGGTGAGGG